TTAGCATTTTCCATACTTATCCACATCATGCCAGTATTCATGGATATTAATTGACTGTGCTCTCACACTTATGCTCACTATATGTGACATTTATTCAAAAATCAAGCTAATATTTTCAAATTTGAGCAATTAAACTTCAATTCTGGTCAAGGAAGGTGATCCTGCCCCTCTGCTCTGCATTGGTGAGACCTCACATCAAGTGATGTGTCCAGATGGGGAGTCCTCGGTATAAGAGAGACACAGATCTTTTTGAGTTTGTTCAGAGAAAGGCCACAAAAATGATCCAATGGTTGGAACTGCCCTGAAGAGGACAGGCTGAAAGAGCTGAGGCTGTTCAGCCTGGAGAAGACAAGGCAAGGCTCATTGGGAGACCTGATAGCAGCCTTTCAGTATCTAAAGGGGGACTGTAAGAAAGAAGAGGACAGACTCTTTAATGGGGTCTGTGGTGATAGGACAAGGGGAAATGGTCTCAAACTAAAAGAGGGGAGATTTTGTTTGGATATAAAGAAGAAGCTTTTACGATAAGAGTAGTGAAGTATGGGAACAGGTTTCCCATAGATGTGGTGGAAGGTCCATTTTTGGAGACTATTCATGGTTAGGCTAGACCAGGTTCTGTCCAGCCTGATTGAGTTGTAGGTGTCCTATTCATTGCAGGGTAGTTAGACTAGAAATATAAGGTTGTGCCAATTTGAAAAGCTTTACAGCAGATTGAGAATAAGGCTGAAGAATAATCATTTTGCTGAATATTTTATACGTTCTAATTCCAGTTAAAACAAATACATTGCATGGATAGTCCATTTTTAAACAGAGATATTTTGTAATTTACTTTTATATATTTAGATTCTCTTTTGAGTTGGCACTGAGTCCACATTACCTAGCATATGTACACCTGCTTGGTATAGCAAATTCAAAAATATCCTGTTTTCAAAATTGAAATTTTAAGAATCACTTTTGGATAACTAATATTTTTTCTTCTTTTCTATTGAATGTACAAAGTTCCCATGTTATATTAAAAATAAATAAATAAATAAATAAATACTTCTTTCAAATGCTTCAATTTACGAGCCAGTAGATTGGTTTCAGTTATTTTCCTAAAATCAAACGGCTTCTATTGGGAACAATAGAATTGTTTTCTCTCAAGAAACAAAAATCTATTCTCCTAATATTCTTTTCACATTTTTAGATACTATTTTACTGTTTTTTTCTATTTTATTATCCTTCTCACAGTATTATCTCTTCTAATATTTTGATAAATATTATCCAGATTACACAGGATGCTATAAATGGTAGAAAAGCTAACCTTGAATCAAACCTTCTATCAAAGTTGGAAATGTGCTCTATGAACACTCTGTGACCCTAATTTCTCATTTGTGTACACCATACAGAAGTTTCAAAATGAGTCGCAAATATTGCCTTTGATATTTTATTCAACCAGCTTTACATGTCCCTTGGACTGGGAAAAAAACAAAACAAAACTGGGAACTAAGAACACCTGTAAGAAATCTGGATGCCAGCAATGGGAGAATGATGAATTACGCATGACTAAAAATACAGCTCTGTAAAGTTGGAGTAATTTGTGAATACTTGAAAGCTCTCTATTAAAAATGTTTATATTTTTAGAAAGTTTATATTGATTCTTAAATATACCCAATTTTAAAATGCTGAAGATGTATCAAAGAAGATTCATTTTGAAGAACAAAAATAAGCCGTTATTCATTATGCCCTGTATGTCTACTTCTGTAGACATAAGGAAGAACTATTTCTCACAGAGAGTGGTCAGGCACTGGAATGGCCTGCCCAGAGAGGTGGTGGAGTCGCTGTCCCTGGCAGTGTTCAAGAGGCGTCTGGATGACGTGTTGCATGATATGGTTTAGTTTGTGGTGGCAATGGTGATGAGGAGACCGTTGGACTAGATGATCTTATAGGTCGTTTCCAACCTTGTGATTCTATGATTCTATGATTCTTTTCATAGAGAGTAAGGAATTGGCTACCAGTATGCTGTACTATTGCACTTGATGCTTTCATCAGAAATAATTCAGTGGGAAAATATTCTCAATAGCAGAAAATCTCTGAAACATCAAAATGATCTGGATGTGGGGAGAGGAGAAGAGTAAGAAAACAGGAAGAGATATTTATTGTAATAAACTCTGAAACTAAAATTTGTAAGGAGCATTTTGAGGAATTTAATTATATTTTCAGTGAAGTTAATAGTTGAAAATTTTATTCTGCTTTACTTTTCACACTGTAAAATCAGAGGGATTACCTGAGAGCCAAGTATCATGCTTAGACAATGAGACTGCCTGGCTTTTTCCTGCACCTGCAATACCATTTAGCACATGGCAGACTACTACAAGCAATTTTAACACTTGCATATAAGGAAGTGATTTGAAATGAACATAGGACCAAGGATTTAAGTTAAATATAATTTTGACTTTAAATGTATTCCCTGCCAATTCACAGATAGAAACATCGTTGTTTTAAAAAGAGTAAACACAATGGCAAGGAAAACTTAAACTCTCATCAAAAGCATCTCCATACATTCTTCTTAGGAAAAAGTCCAGAAGAAAAGATATAGACATAAAAGCAAAACAAAACAAAAAAAAATCTAAGAGCCAAATTTGGAGAATAAAATTAAATTGAAAATAAAAATAAGATTGAGGATAAACGAAAGATAAAAATGATCAAAGCAGAGAGAGAAAAAAATAATACCTGCCAGACTTCAATTATAAAAATTAGTTTTTGAAGGTTAGTATTAGAGCAAGTATATTTATATTGTGTATGAATATAATCAAAAGGAATTTGTGGAAATAGAATTAAAATTATTTTTTAAAATTTATTAGGTATCTGTATAGGAGAACTGCATATTAATGTCAGATTTAATTGCAATTAAATTTCTAATTCATGGTTTGGTCTTAAAAGCTTATTTTGTGAAGCAAAATTTGTTGACTCGTAACATCTGTTACTAAACAAGGTGTTACAGTGATAGAAAAATAAATGTTTGTTTGCAGAAGAAATACTGTAATTGCAGTTCAAACACAGATTTCAAAAAAAAAGAAAAAAACAATATTAAATGTTTTGCAGATGATTTCTTATTAGTAGACAAAAGAATTAAAATGGCATACTTAGGCTTCATAACTGATGTTCACTTTGTGTCAGGAAGCGAAGATCTCCATGCATGCTAATGCTCTTAAAAAGATTAGATACATCTTCATTTCTGTATAAAGCTGGAGACACTATATCTTTTTCCAGCTCAGCTGGTTTGTACTAGGAAAGCTCTTCTAACTGTCACGAGAATTCCTTATCAAAATTACTAGTGACAGAGTACAGTAGCATTACAGTGCTTTGACCAAGAAGGAACTGGGGCTCTTAAGTCTGGGGAAAAGGAGACTGAGGGGAGACCTTAATGCTCTCTTCCAATATCTGAAAGGTGCTTACATCAAGAGTGGGGTTGGTCTCTTCTCACTGGTGACAGGTGACAAGACAAGCAGAAATGGCCTTATGTTGCACCAAAGTAAGCTTTGGCTGCATATTAGGAAACACTTCTTTACAGAAATGGTTGTTAAGCACTGGAATAGGGAGTTGATTGAGTCAACATCCCTGGATGTGTTTAAAAACCGTTTGGATGTGGTGCTCAGGTTTCACATGATTTAGCGGAGGGTTGTTAGAATTACGGTGGTATGGTTAGGTTATGGTTGGACTCGATGATCTTAAGGTCTTTTCCAACCTGAGTGATTCTATGATTCTATGATTCTGTAGAAAATTTCAATGTTGAATATACCGTCAAGTCAAAAGTGGAGTGTACCACTGCTGCTAGAGATGATCTAATATAATATGTGCTTAACAGGAAGCATATATTATATTAGTGTAGAAATTATTTGATAAAATAGTCTAATTTTGCCTAATTCCACTTGCATATATTCTCAGTTCCCTACTTGTAGAAGTGGAAAGTAATAAATTGGTCAAACTAATCAGGCAGCACTGTGTAGGTATGAATGCCAGAAAGAAATAAAATATAGGGGCTTTTTTTTTTTTTTTAATCTCTTTTGAAATGTCATTGGATCTGTCAATTCAAATGAGAAGAGGCGCTATAGTCTCTTCTGGTAACGGTTTACCTTTTACCTGAGGTAATGAAGAAATGGTATCTATTTTCCATCCATTTATGAGCTTTTGATATAGAGAAGGTGCATTGAACAACATGATTAGAGCTCGCGTGCATAAAGTGAATATAAAATTAAGAAAGAATTAGGACATTGTCCTTTTGACTCCCATATTTGCAACAAGACCCCATCGTAGCCAAAGGCTTGCTCTGCGTATTATTAGATTGAATACTCAGGTTTTTCCCTCATAGATTCTAAGATGCAAGGAGGTACAATCTAAACAAAAATATAATCTTGGATGTTTAGTTAGTTTGGGTTTTTTCTTCCTACTGTACAACAAGAGATTAATCATTACAAATTAAAATTGAATATCCAGACTTTTCCTTTTCTGCACTTCAGTAAGTTCTAATTGTCTTCCTTAAAATAACTACCTGTCTAGACGGTAAAGCCATAACCAATTTGAAGAAAAGACCTCAATAGAAAAATTGTATTATCTACTTTTCTCTCAAAAAACAAACAAACAAGCAAACAAGAGTTTGAAAGTCATTAAATATACTTTTATGTTTCCACTGTTAAAACTCTTAAAGCTGTGAAAGCCACTCTTGAATTCCTTTCTGATTCTTATGTAGAGCTGTCCCTTGATGCTTTTAATTATCCAGTTCTCTAGAACACATTTGAGAGAACAGTACAGAATATATTATTGTATGCTTACATATTTATGCCTACAGCAATCTAATTTTTTTCTTCTTCACGGAATGAATAATTTTTATGATTTTATTTGGTATAAATCCTCTATATTTCTCACTCATGCTTCTTCAAATTTGTGATCAACGCAGTATTCATTGCGTAAATCCATGTCATGTGAAGTTGTTCTTGTCTTGATAGAAAAATAATCATTTCACAGTCAGTAAAGTCCTAAGCAGTGCTGACAAAGTCATGGTTGCTTGATGACTACAACACAGGCACCAGCTCTTCCAATATTTAAGGAAGCCATCTGCATTAAAACAAAACAAAACAAAAAATAAAATAAAAAAAAACAACAAAAAAACAACAACAAAACTGAATAGTCTAGTCATGCAAGAGTGAGCCAAAGTTTTTTGTCAGTATTAATATAAAATATTTTAAACAAATGGGATTAAATACCCACAATGTGCTAGTACTGTAGTTTTAAATTACTTAATCGTATATTGTATCTTTTGCTTGAAAATGTGGGGAAAAAAAAAAAAAAACTATTATGACATTTTCTTTACAACAAAATCACCAATTGCAACCACTTTGCACTATGAAAATGCTTCTATTCTTATACAGTTCAGTACTAGGTGCATACATATATTTCAACATTTCAAAATATCCATCAAAAAAAGGCAAATGAAATTGAAAAATGAAATGAAAACTTAGCTTCCTACATACAGTAAACACAGTATTTTCACATGAAACATCTTCAAAACATGCCTGTCAGCAATTAAAATTCTGGATTCATTTTAACAATTTTTGTAACATTACTTCTGCGCAAAAAGCAGGTGGAATAGATATTAGCTAGTTTCACCTGAATGGTAAAAGATTACATTTCTAATGAGTGTTTATTCTCTCTTCTACTGGTTTCTTAGTTCTTTTTCCTACCTGAAGAGGAATCTTTTAACATAATAACTGAAAAAAAAAAAATTAAGAATACTTTCACAGCCATAGCAATCTAAGATACCAAAATATTTTTTCATAAAAGAAGTGGTTTGGTTTTTTTTTTTTTATTTTGTTTTGTTTTTGAGAAAATATCAAAATGCATGAGAAAAAATACAGACTATAAAAAGTACCTGTGTCCATTCATTAGTTTGAGGGTCATAGGCTTCCATAGTGTTCAAGTATGTTTGCCCATCGTATCCACCTACTGCATACAACCTGTCACCAAGGAGACAGACACCAACAGCATCTCGAGGCATACTCAGTGGAGCCACCATTGTCCATGTGTCAGTTTTTGGATCATACCTAATGAAGGACAAGGGAAATTGAATGCACAGTGAGAAGCAAAGTGTTGTTTCATGCTGATCTTCATGGGAAATACAGCCATTTTGCATAAAAACAAAAATCCATGAGCACCTTATCAAAAATATTTCTGTAACAGCAGAAAGAAAAGATTACTGTATTCCCAATTCATGTATTTTAATGTTGATTTGAAACTTCCAGTTAACTATTTGAAAAAAAAAAAGAAAATTAATAAAGAATCCTAAACTATTTATGGTGTAAGGTGTCATAACATAGCTCTGAGTAGAAGAGCAATATCTTAATGTATATATTTATGTGTAAATTTGAAATAAATCATTATATTTTTGTAGAATATTAAAGTATTTTTGCAATAATTATATTCTACTGTGCTAATATAAAATGTTCATAGCCAGAAAACCTCCCCAGGAATTCATGTTTTTAACTTCATTTCAGTTAGAATCTCTCTACAAGTGAAGAAAATAGTACAGTTTTAACGACAACCATCACAGAATTTCTAAAACTGAGAGCAGAATTACATAATAATAGACATTCAAAAATTAAATATTTAATTTATGCTATTAACTTAGATATTCATTAACAGTGTAACATCAGTTAATACCAGAGGCCATTTCAGTATATTTAGCATCTACTATAAAGCTGAAATCAATCCATTGATATTGCCTCTCAGTGAGTTACTAAGGCAGCCTGGAGTATTAGGTTAAACTCATTTTTAGGTGATGGATATTTCATTCAGATAACAAAGTAGTAGATTTTTACATCAGAGTATGATAGAAATACTTTTTTTTTCTGCATCTATAATATGTAGTAGAATCACTTTTCAATCAGTTGAGAGAAATGAACAGTTTAATGATGAAATGTCTTGGGCAGACTTCAGTCATTTGATGTGTAAGGTAGCTCAGACTTTGGAAATGACAGTCTAAATTAACTAAAAAGGAACTCTGTGATGGCTAAAGTTTTCCATCATTATATAATATCATTACATTATTATTGCTACTGAGATCCTCCCCTTATGGATAGAATGTGACACTATCTTACCAAAGAAAAATATCCCTCGCTTCACATTCACATCTTACTGATGCCATTGCTTTTTGGCAACAGGTACATTTGTGAACAACTGTTTTCAAGGATGAATCCCAAGAAGAATAAAATTTCATAAAAAAATCTCTTGACAAACACCTTCAGGATTCATGAAGAATTACAACCACTTCCACTGAACCAGACCAATGCATTACTTTCACAAAAACCAGGTCCCACTAGATCCCACTAGTTATATGTTTGGGTTTTTTTGTTCTCTTTTTTTTAATGTTTCAATAAAAAGTATTTTAAAATAAAATAAATTTTGTTAGTTACATACATTGACTATATTATATATTTTATCTGCAGCCCAAGACAATTCCTCTTCACAAAATGTGGCCCAGGCAAGCCAAAAGATTGGACACCCAAAAGCTAAACAAAATGCTTAAAACTTAATTCTATCAGCGGGATAAAATTGCAAAATAATTTGGTCAAGGTGTTTTTGTTTGTTCATTTTGTAATTGTCCAAAAAAGTCTGAGTTTTCTAATATTTTTTCTTTTGCTAAATACAACTGTACCTTTTGGTTTCACAATAATTGTATATACCCTAGACTGAGAAGGTTTACAGTAAAGTTCATTAATGTGGGAAAAAAATGAATTTGAAATCAAGGTGAGAAAGGAAAAAAAATCTATAAATAACTTGTTTAACTTGTCAATAGATATTGCACCTAGAGCAAGCAGCATTCTTTTTCAAGTATTGCTTCACTGCCAAAATATCTCCAAATTTTATAATTCTTAAGAAGAGATTACTCAGTGTCATAAGAAATCCTTTAAAATTGCATCAACATAAAAAACTGGGAAACAAACTAGATGTCTTAACTGGTATCGAGCAGGATTTAACAGCAGCATTCAAAAAACACGAATATGTTGTCACTAGATTTAAGTAATGTCGAAAATATTTTTACAGAAGGTAAAACTTTCAGGGATATATGAGATAATATAATAAATCATATAATAAACACTTATTAGACTTTGGCATCCTAAGTCATTGGAAATATTTTTTGGAAGGAGAGTGAATTTTCAAATGTAAAAGTAGATGCATTGAAGCCATATTATACACCTGTCAGTTATTGGCAGTGCTTTGAGATACTGCCCATTTTCTCATGGAGACTTTCATTCAGCTCACATCTACTCAATGCAAACTAATATTCTTCCAAGTTCTGACTTCTTAGTTTTAATTTTTACACTGGAAGATAGCTGCCCATAAAGCACATTATTCATATCAGTGCAAAAATACCTAGACAAAGAACACTGTATAATGCAATTCAGATACCAAATAGGTAAAGTATATGTGGTTAACTCATTGCTATTACACTCTCTGAAAAAATCACATGTAATGGGAAAGGATTTATTTTTGAAGAATTTTCTTGTCAAAATCGGAAGGAAAAAAAAAAAAAAAAGCTTCCTTATAAGTACGAATAAGGAGAGGAAGTAGTAAAGATATTGTCACCAGTTGCTGTTAGAAGTTGGACTCCGTGATCCTTGTGGGTCACTTCTTTATGATTATGATTTTAGTACTAATATAAATTTATTTCATGAAAAAAACTGGGTATTGTTATTTATAGATAGATAACCATCGAGATTAAGATGATATAGACCTGGGATTTCTCTGATCAACTTTCCATCCATTGGAGATAAGGAAAACATAAGTATTTTGCACATGGGATAAAGTCTAAGCATGAGGAAAATCATATGGAATAAGTTTCAAATTAGAAATTCAGGATTCAGGATTACTTGTTGAATAACTAATAAACTCAAATATATAAAAAAAAAAAAAAGACAAAAAATGACATTTAATACATTTTTAAACACTTAATGGAAAAAAAGTCTCTTTCCTGGTACCTGTCTATACCTATTCCATGCTTAAATTAAACAACTGATCAAATATATCTGCTTTAAACTTTGCTACCTGTATATGTATGGTAAATGTATTTTACTGTATTCTTCTTCAAAACATTCAAAAACAGAAATTAAAAAAAAAAAAAAAAAGTCAAACCCGAGTGGAACATCTGAAGAGTACCTTCAAAATGAGTGGCACTGCCCTACTGGATAATCTTGAATTTGCAGAATACCAGCTTGTGAAATACAGGGTACTGCAAATATAATGTGTAAAGCTGATACCCATGTAGGGGAAGTGATAGTGCTGTTAAATATCTATTATATCTTCCTTCCCTGCTACATCTTTAGTTACATTATTATGTTATACAGTTATTTCAGGCCAGAGTTTTTATCTCCTCAAAGTTTACTTAATGACTCTGCAATGTGTAATGTCTTGATTCAGAAACAAAGATTTATTAAATGTTAAGTGAAAAGAGGTAAGTTTTGTGTCGAATTTAAAATTTAACAGCGCTGTGAGAGAAAAAAAGGAAAAGAAAATAATCTCCAAAACTATTCTGTTGGAAGCTTCTAAGAATTTTCTTACAGGAAAAAGGAAGTCAGTTTGTCTTAGGGAAAGAAAAAAAAAGTCTGCTGTAAATTTCACCATTATATAAGTAAGAAAATGATGCTTCCAGACAATATATTTAAAAAATGTATGTAGTAGATACCTTTCTACATAGTCCAGTAGTCGTGAGCAGTGGTTAGAAGCAGGAGCATCATGACCTCCAACTGCATAAAGAAAGCCATCACATGTAGCCACTCCTACACCTCCTCTTCTCTTACACATTGGAGCACACATATTCCATTTATTTGTATGAGGATCATAATATTCCATTGAACTCAAACATGAGCTTCCATCTCGACCTCCAACTGAATATAATCTAAGAAAATGCACAATAAAATATTAATTAAAAAAAACAGTTTAGAACTGTAGAAATAAAGGATTTTTTTTTTGTTGCTGTTTGGTTGTGGGTTTTTTTGTTTCTTTGTTAGTGTACTTTAAGCTGACTTTAACAAATGGGAGAAAAACAAAATATACTTTCTCAAAATCATATGAATTTCACCTGATCAGTAAACATAAATAATTTTAATATTATTACTAAATCCAAATTCTACTTGTGTTTTGCACAGATCCATAGGAATTAAGATATTTTCATTCTGGAAATGGTTATCTTTGTTCTTTGACTATAGCACATACTGCCAAAAGCCACTGTGATACATAGATTTTTCTCTATAAATTTATAAATCACATGAGCAGGGCTGGTACTCAATTGTTCACCAGAATATACTATGAGGATTCAGCTCTGTATGGAAATCTTGGAAAATCTCAGAAAACATTTTAAATATGAAATGGCAAAATGTGGCTTAAAAAAACAGTTTGTTTGTTACTACCTGCAGGCAAGATTCTTGTTTCCTCCCATTTTTTGTAATGCTTCCCAGGAGAAAACAGTTCTGATAACTATCTATAGTCATGCTGCATCCGTGTTTTATATGAATCCTTCTGCAGTCTACTGTCTTTCATACAGTGCTTGAAGAATTACTAATCAGCTATTTGAAAGTCCAACCACTGAGTAATTCAGGATGCAAAAGCTGTCTGTGGGATGTAGTTATTCATTTGGAAGCTTTTACTGTCCTAAACAGTCCATGAATTCAGAGTTACTTAAATGTGCATTCACCATTATATTTCCTTGGCCTGGATTCTGATGGATAAAGAAAACGTAATACCACCACTAAATATGTCACAGAAGTTGTGAGATATTTTGGTACTGCCTGACAGATATACTCCTATTTGCTAAAGTTTCAAGTAGAGAGAAATATAAGGGAAAAGATATTTAAGCTTCTGAGTATCCAGACTTACTGGATATCCAGAGATATTTACCTTTGTATACAATTATCATGTATCCACATGTGGGACAAATCCACAATTAAGACTGCTACATATTAGGGTTAATCTGTCGATGTCTGCATTTTTTAAATTGCTTTATGTTCAAGGTGGCAAGCAGAGCCTAAAGTTCAGTTGGCCAGCCACGACTGTATTGTTCCTCTTTATCAGAGATAAAGAGCTTAAGAACAGCACTAAAAGGACATGTTAGCACTTGATCCAAATCCATTTACATGAAAATAAATTTAACTGTCTGCAAGGATGTTACTGTTATTTGCAGAGAAGATCTGGGACTTGGTTCAGTCGCACGCAGACAGTGATCAAACGCTGTTTACTGTATGCAGAAGAAAAAAACATCCCTACAAGAGAAGACTGCTGGAGTTCACAAGTCAGTTCAAATGGCAGTAGATAGTTTAATGTAAATATGTGAATTAATTCTTAAATATGGAGACAGTGGTATACAGGCCTGAGATAGAATTCTAAGTAAATGTTTGGACAAATAAACACTTCACATGGTTTTAAAAAATGCAAAGTACTAAAACTTCTGCAGGGCTCAGTGAGAACCATCATGTGTTCCCCTAACCTAACTGGCAGAAGGAATAACTATCACTTCTGGCATGAAAGTTCACTGTGAAGCACTGTTTCTCATTTGCCTACTTCAGTTAAGACAGCTAGTGAAATGTATCTAAAAGCATCTCTGAGTTGCCAATAGGGAAACATATATTGTTCATAAAAACTGATAACAGTTTCAGTCAGCTATCTATCTAATTTCTGTTAAAACAACTGTTCAGAGCAGAATAAAATTTATTTATATTTTTATTATATATATAAAATAAGATTTTGGGGCTACCATTCTAGGTTTCGATTGTGTTTATATCTAAGTAAGTAATAGACCAGGATTTTGCTTCCCCATGTTGGCTCCTTCACCACCTGTATCAGGAAGTTATCACCCATACACTCTAGGAACCTCTGGGCCTGTTCTTTCCTGCTGTATTATAATTCCAGCAGATATCTGGGAAGTTGAAGTCCCCCACAAGAACAAGGGGGAGAGATCTCAAGACTTCACACAACTGCCTATAACATGTCTTACCCATTTCTACATCCAACAGGTGACAGGACAAAGGGAAATGGCCTCATGCTACACCAGCGAAGTTCTAGGTTGGATATCAGGAAAAACATCTTTACAGAAAGAAGTTATTAAGCACTGAAATCCATGTGTTTAAAAACCTTTTGGATGTGGTGCTCAAGGACATGATTTAGCAGAGGGTTGCTTGAGTTAGGGTAGTATGGTTAGATTGTGGTTGGACTTGGTGATCTTGAAGGTCTTTTCCAACCTGAACAATTCTATGATTCATTAGATTAGCAGTACAATTTTATTTCATAAGGGTCAATTTCAGACAAATACAATTTGAAACTGAATTGTTTTAAAACACTGTAGCTGAGCCTGGATGCTTCAGTAAGGAAACATTTCCACTCTTCTGCTAAATTCTGTAATCCACAGTTATTCACTCTAGCCCAAAGTAACTAGGTAACAACAGCACTGCAAACAGTGCTGAATGTCCAGGATACTGCACAACTAACTGAAGTTTTTGAGATACTCATATCTCAAGAAATTTAGAACTCTCTTTATTGCTCAGTCATATTTAATTAGATGACTTTGAATGAATAATTTTTTTGTAATTTTACCCTTCTTGGTAACAGTTCAGACATAAAAATTTCTGCATGGAAAAGTATAATTGATTTCTCTAAAAATGTGTGATAATCTGTCATTACTGTGATAAGATTTAAGCCCTGCAACTGCAAGGGCTACTCTTATGTCTCTCAGTTAACAGATACCACATCCGATTTGACTGATTTGTTGAATACACTTGTAAGTAGATTTTCATTTTCATGTGCATATGCCTTTAGAATTCAGACACTGAAGACAATTAAGTGACTGAATTTAACAAATTAGTGTTTGTCTTTTTTTTTTTATTATTCATTTTTTATTTTACACTGTTAATTCGCAATACTATCTTAGTAACTTTACCTTACCTAAGTGCTCTGTACTACTTCTACCTGCTCTTTTACTGTACATATACCACTGGGATACAATGTGTACAATCCACAAAAAGTCTAAATTCACAATAAGTCTAAATTCACAATAAAGGCATCTTTCCTATTTCTCCCAGATAACTGGTATCTGTAGACTTCTTGCAGATGTCTAACTTTTGCACATGATAACTTCTGAGTGCCTACAATATTTTAAGACTTTATTTTCAACATTGCATGATTAAGAACGTTTCAGAAGTAAGCAGAGGGATAATAATCACATAGTAAGCATATCTTCATTTCACTTTTGAGTTGGGAATATTCTGTTTACTGAACTGTATCTCATTCTATGGAGGTGAATCCTATTAAAACTGAATTTCTTTTATAATCATCTCTGTTTACAAGGAAAGGTCAGCAAGGGAAAAAAAAAAAAAAAAAAGGATTAATTACTGAGTACTTTATCTCCATGGTTCACAATGAAAGTTTTGCCTCTGGAGATGTTACAGATTTCTATTCCTCAACAGCCTAAATTTCAATTTATTCAGATACTGTGAGTGGATATGAATTTAGCCTCCACTGAACTGGAAGTTTGTTGGTTTTTTTTCTTTTTTTTCTTTTTCTTTTTTTTTTTTTTTTTTTCAGGATTTGGTGAGTTCTTTTTACATTAAGATGGGCATAGATTCCTAAACGTATATATATATATATACATACACCATACACACACTTAGGTCACACCAAAAGTAATGCCTCCTATTTATTTCTATGGAAACAACATACACAAAGAATACAAGAACACTATTTGAGAGAGCAAACTCTCAGCTACAAAAAACCTTTTTTCAGCAAAGTAGGAGAAAGGAGAAATCATGACTAGTTGGATCAAAAGCATTTATCTCAGTGCTATGATTACAAACCTTTGATACCTAATCAGAAAAGACATTTTTAAATTCAGTTTGACAAACCAACCTCAAAAGAACAGAGTGCCTTTGATGTGAGTTGCTATAGCTTGTGAAAACAGTTGAATCATGTCTTTCCGGCATTTCTTAATGAGGTTCGCCTTTCAAAATTCTTTCACCAAAAATATCAAAGACCTTGTCTGGTCTTTTGTTTAGGCCCCTTTGTGCCCTTTTCTACCTTTCAGTATGCCTGAAAGAGCAACAGAGGAATACTTTGTCAGAAAGGAAGTCTGACAGGTGGAAAGAAGGGGAAGGTTGGAATTTTCATCAGTGCTAGCAATCCACATTTGACCAAGGAGACTGTGCAGATGAAATCTCTCTATCCGCACTGCCTTGGTTAGGTCAGCTGTTCACTGGCAAAAGTTGAATATGACAATTTTCTGAATGGAAAGCATTAATGAATACATTTCTATCTGTAAATTTGTAATGGTACTTCATGTATTTGGTAACACAGGAGTGGGATACATTAGGAATAAATACAGCTTGTTTAAGAAAAAATGAAAAAAAGTCATAGAATAAGTGCCAACAATTAAAGAGCTACTAACTATCGGAATTTGAAAAGACTCTGAGAGTAACACCTTTATATGAACAATATCATTATGGCAAAACTCTACTTCCTACACTAGGAGGTAAACTTTTCTGAAAGAAAGAACCTGTATCAAGTAAATTTAATTGTAATCAAAGTTACATTTTGGGCTACTTTATCTTTGCAAGACTGACTGCAAGTTCCTCCAGTTGAAAACGTCATTGACTGTATCAGACTACACGAGAAATAAGATAAAGTAGTCTGTAAATTATTGTTTTACTACAGTATAAGGTCAAGGCCCCTTATTCTCTGTCTTGTTTATTAAAACATAAATGGAGTGCATCTGTCATTAAATAAGAAAATGTTTTTGAGTTCACAGAATGACTTTGTGCTAGATTGAGCTGGTATAGTATACTTAGGATATTCATTTGCTTTGTCAGTTCAATCATTTTAGATCAAAATATTGTTCCATACTTTCTTTCTCTATAT